GAAATGATCACTCATTTAATAAATAAATAACAAAGTTTAAGTTTTATAAGCTCAAATGCTCGCCTTGCTCTGTTCTGTGATGCGCGTTCGTGACTCTCCTGTTCATCAAAACGAATGAATCTTATTTTGAGTCATTTTGTTCATTCACTGCATGTATAGCACATACTAAATGAGACAAGGGTGTCGAGTTGCATTCAATATACTTTAAGGAATAACGGGGAAAAAAAACGTTTAAATGTGTAATTTTGCTGATCAAAGATAAGTTTTAAATGATGAAATTATTGACAGGGCAACTAATAAAATAATTGAAGAGTTCAGATGCAAAAGCCTCTAAGTGCCATTTGAAATTTTCTTCTAAAATGACCATTTTTATCAAGCTTGTATATTTAAGTTCAGTAATTTCACTTAAATGACAATTAATAGGTAATCTTCATTGCCATTAAAGTGAAATCACTGAACTTAAATATACAAGCTTGATAAAAATGATCATTCTAGAAGAAAATTTCAAATGGCACTTAGAGGCTTTTGCATCTGAACTCTTCAATTATTGAATAAATTCTGTACTTAGTGGCGGGAAATGAGTGTAAATCCAGTACTAAGTACAAATAGACACAGACTGCAAGTGACAGAAATGACCAACGCATTTATTATAAAATATACTGGCAACCCTTTCCAATAATAGAGTTATTGTTTGAATACATTAAATGTCCTTCATCGTCATCAAATAAATGTGAACGTATGAGACTTTTGAGTTATAGAATATATTATAAAAATATCTATATTATTTATTATTAAAGTGTTTGGTAGTAAGGATACATTTGCTGTGCTTGATTTCATCCCAAAGATTGTATAAAAATATATTTCTCCTCTTTGTTCTCGTTGTGATGAAAAAAATCCTCATTTTATGTGTGATGAACAAAGTCTGAAAACATTTGACAAGCGCAACATTTCCAGTCATGTATATAAAGCTTTATTAGGACATATAAAAAGAAATTTACAACAGGAATAATTTTGTAAAGAGCCACCCCTCCATTTCATTAAGACTCGTCGTATATTTCTATTGGCTCTTTGTCTTCACCCTCTCCAGACCTTGAGCGCCGCTGCGTTTCATTAGGGGCCAAGCACCGAAGGTGCGGAGGCACCTATTGTATCTGTGCCGGTTCTTATTATTATTATTATTATTATTATTATTATTCTTCTTCCGACTGGGCCTCTATGGCAGCCCATAGACCGGTTTGCGGGAAAGTTGTTTTGGTTTGACATTCTGATAGAGGACAGTCCCAACTTTAAATACACCAATTTTGGTGTCTCTAACTCATTCCCTCTAGCGCCACCAACTGTCCAAAGTTTCACTTTTATTATGCTAATAACTTTTGAACCGTAAGACCTATCAACAAAATTCTTTTTTCCTCTTATTCCTGAGCTCATGCCGATTCGATCGCACCCTATGACGTCATTTTCCGTCATAAAAACATGGCCGCCATTTTGAATTTTCCAAAAAACGTACTTTTGCGAACTCGTCCTAGACCGTTTGTCCGATTTTCACCAAAATCGCACCGGATCATCTCCAGGCAGTGCTGACAAAAAGTTATGGAATTCAAGATAATTCGAATAACCGTTTTCGATAAACACACAAACTAATTTTACGTAACGCTTGCGAAAACAGACGTAAGGCTTTATCTCCGCAACGCTTCATCCTATTCAGACCAAACTTGGTACATGTAATCACAAGCATGACCTGAGGCTACATGCAGCGTTTCGGCGCAGCGCCACCTAGTGGTCCGGAGATATGAAAAATGGCTATTTTTGCTCGTAACTTCTGAACGGTTTGTCCAAAAATCATAAACTTCATCTCGTTAGATTCAGGGCATCATGCCGAGTCGACTGATATCCAATTTTCCCAGATCGGCCATTTTGGCTGTCGGCCATTTTGAATTATGTGCTAAAATGCTGTATTTTTTGAACGCATGAACGAATTGTTACGAAACTCGGTATGGGTCATCAGTACGATGCCCTGAAGAAGCCTGAGAAGTTTCGAAACAGCGCCACCTAGTGGTGAATTGTTTTATTCAAACGCTTATAACTTTGGGTGTGGTACACTTATTTTCACGGGAGTCATATTTTTGAGGTCCTGAATCGTTGCCGAGTCCAACGATACCAAATATGTCGGGTTTCGTCTCACGGATGGCGTAGCGTAGCGATTTAGCGCGAAAAAAACACTTGGCGATATCTTCAAAACCGCTGTTCCGATCGAGACGAAACCACCGTCAGAAACACGGAATCATAGCTTGTTAACTATACGCTAATGCCCAAATGCAAAAATATTGATAGTAAGGGGTAGTAAAATTCAAACAAAGTCATGTGTCAGTCATTTTTTACATGTTTTTTCATATAAATGTTTATAACTCGGAAGCGAATTGAGATATTTTCACCAAAATTGACACACATATGTATGGGGTCACTCTGAGGACACACACAAAAAATTGTGGGACTGAGCCTCTTGGTGGCGCTATAATAGAACAAAACTTGAAATTCCCATTGACTTCAATACAGTTTTGTGAAATACAATGCTATACTAAATAAATCCTTTGGTATAACATTACGAAACTCAGTGTGTGCCATAAGCAGCATGCCCTGAAGGTACTCAAAAGATTTTGAGACAGCGCCACCTGTTGGTCAAAAGTTATAATTAATTTCTGAGAACGCTAATAACTTTTGAATAAATTTGCCTATTGCAATGAAACTGATCTTAATAGATTCCTTGGGTTATGCCAAAAACAGATATCAGGTTTTCCATAATCAGACAAACTTCCTGTTCGCCATCTTTATTTCTTTGAAAAACCTTCTTTTTCGAACTCCTCCTAGACCGTTTGTCCGATTTTCACGAAAATTGAATGGTATCATCTCCAGACCGTGCCGACTAAAAGTTATGAATTGCACGATGATAGACAAAACCGTTTTCGTATAACACAACATCAAAGTTTAGGCATGCTGCCAAAATTACTATTTAGGCTTTATCTCTGCAATGCCTTCACATTTTGACACCAAACTGTGCATGTGTCATTGTCACCTCACTCTGACCACATCACATCTATTTCGTAACTGCGCCACCTATTGTTCGAAAGTGATAACCCATTAAATCATCTTATAAGTTAATGTTTATGTGATTTTCTTAGCCATTTGCCCAAAGTTCTCTCAAAATGCCCTTAATTGCTCCTTGCTGCAGTTGGTCTGCCACTCCTTGCCATTTTGGCATATGTTGCCGCTTATTGCGCTTGGCCCCGGTAATGGCTGCTTGCAGCTATATTTTGCTTTGGTTTCGTTTGTCTGTCTGTCAGGGAAAGATTGCGTGTGTGTGTGTGTGTGTGTGTTGAATAGAGAAGCGTGGCGTTGAGTTGTGTCTTTAACTCTATTGTTGGACTCTTCTGTCTGGCTCTTTTGTGATAAATAAGTTTCTCGTTGTTGTGTTGTCTGTGTGAAGATATGCGGACACACACACACACACACACACTCGTGTCTGTCGGTGTCGTATTAAACACTGATGAGGCTGAAAATCCAGTGTTTTACACACTTTCAGAAGATGCTTTCCTCAGTTTATTTCTACATTATGAGCTCTACACTGAAAAAAATAATATGCTTTATCTAATCAATAAAATTGTGGCAACATATTACAAGCAATATTATTAATTAAATTGTACAAATTAGAATTAATTAGAATATTAATTTGATTAACTATTACTCAATACTAATTTGTTCAATTTAATAAATAATATTGCTTGTAATCTGTTGCCACAATTTTATTGATTAGATAAAGCATATTCATTTTTACAGTGTAGTCTAGAACACAGATTCACTTATATATTATTTACAGAGTCACACTGCTGACAGTCCCTGTTAGAAAATCTATCAAAATAAATCTATATTTAAGAAATATTTTAATGTATATAGATTTAATATAAATATTTTATATATTAATAACACAATCGTCTTAAATATATACATGCATGTGTGTGTATTTATATGTACAAAATAATTATACACACATATATATTATGTAAACACAAACTTTTATTTTGGATGCGATTAATCACGATAAACCGTTTCACGGCCCTAGTTATTAGTCATAATAAAATAAATAAAACTTTCAATATCAGAGCTTTACTTTACATTAATGCATTTAGCGGATGTTTAATCCAAAGCGCATTCAGACGTTATCTTTATAATATAACTATATCAACATCCCGAGTAAACGTGTAAAACGGTAAAACTATTACAGAAAATGATTATTTGACAGAGAGTCTACATGGAAACGTAGACGATTATTATTATTATAATATAAGAGGAACGATGCAGATTGTGTGTGTGTGTGTGTGTGTACAGTACTCTAAACAGTATACAAAGTTAAATAAACAGTATTTTATGTGTGTATATAAAAAAAATTACTTAATACATACTGTATATATAGGCTGTGTTTGTATTACAACATGGGATGCAAATACAGTATTATTAACTGATATTATTTGTGTGTGCATATATATATATATATAATATTGCAGTTATATTTTGCATTATTTTATTTTATTTATACATCGTTGATTCGCTTCTACAATATTATGTATTTAGGATATACACACTCACACACTCTCTCTCTCTCTCTGACCATCCCTCGCTCGCCCACCACTGCTCTCAACCTAATTGGCTGAGCGTGGATTGTCTTTGTCGTCATGGAAACCTCTGTAATGTCCTTTGATTGGGCGTCATGGCCTTGAGTCAGGGATTATTAGTGAGATGAGGAAACATTATAATGATGATAAAAGCTGCATCATCTCCAAAGCTAAACGCGTTACACCTTAATAAATGCATGTAATCATATATAGTAAAGGAGTATTGGGAAGATCCTCCACTCTCAGAGATGTAATTACGGCTGCTTTATTAAAGAGCGATCTGAGCATGTGACCTTTGCTGACCTTTGACCTTTGCTGACGGTGTTGTGTTTCCAGATGTGTGGAGATCATCGCGAAGGAGGGCCGGAGTCTGAAGGAGCTGTATCTGGTGTCCTGCAAGATCACCGATCACGGTAAGACTGATGCGTTTCGTTTGAAACATGACGACTTCAGATCACCAACGCCGTGAACTCTGACCTTCCTCAGTCAGTGTTCTCTTCAAGGCCTACTACTATCATATTATAGTGAGGATAGTATTATAGTGCATTTTATTCACATTATTTTATTTTTCAAAATTACAAAACGTTGCCTGTCATGCTGAAAGTGTTTTCAATGTATTTATTTAAAGTTTTTATACTGTCAAAGCAGCGGTCCTCATTTAATTAAGACTTTAAGTCTCAGTTTAATTAAATAAATGTTTTTATTTTTCCCCTAAAACTTTTCATAGAGATCTGGTCTTTTACATTATTTTTTATTTGTTTATTTGCTTTTTATTTAAATGTATTAATTTATTTAATTAAATAAATATATACATTTATTGTTTAAATCGATTCATTTATCTGTTTATCTATAAATTCCTCAGTCAGTGTTCTCTTCAAGGCCTTATTACTATTGTGGTATATAGTTAGTATAGTATTATATACAGTGAACTTATTCACATTATTTTATTTTGTTTATTTTTATTTTATTTTCGAAATTGCAAATTCCAAAACTTTGCCTGTCCTGGTGATGACAAATGTATTTATTTATTTAAACTTTCCATACTGTGAAAACAGCAGTCTTTTATAATTTATTTACAGTATTTGTTTATTTATTTATTATTTACTTTTTTATTTATATGTGATTTATTTAGTTTAATTAAATAAATATAATAATTTACTTGTTGTTTTTTTTTCTTCTTAAACTTTTCATGCAGTCATGGCAAAGCAGTAGTCTTTTTTTATTTGCTTTTTAATCAAATTTATTAAATTAAATAAATATATTGATTTACTTGTTTAAATTAATTTATTCATTCATTTATTTGTTTATTTAATTATGATTTATTTAATACATTAATACATGTTTATATTTATATTTTTATTTATAATTGAATGAAACAAATAAGTGATATAATGAAATAATACATAAACAAATATATTCCTTTATATATTTAATTATAAATGTATTTCCAGGCTTACAGTGTTAAACCCCCACACTCTCTCAGGCTTTTGTTCCCCCCCGTATGAAGAACAATGCACAATATTCATGTGTACGGCACATTAACACACACTGTCAGTCCCATGCTTGAGCTCCAGGAGTGTGTGCGACAGATAATGCCGTGATAAACCCTCTGATCCCCCGAAACAAAGGCCACAGCGGCTGCATGTGTTCACACACTGAATCATGGGTAATTACTGCCTGCCGAGACTGAAGGACAAAGCGGAGCGATTACGCCGCGCAAACAATAGCGACAAGTTCCGCCAGATCGTAACGTTAGATTGAGGAACTGCACGACGGAGCGAGAAGAGCCGTTCTCCGGCGCGTTCTTCAATTAAAACACGTTCACATTCGGCTTTTATTAGTGCAGAATAAAAAAAATGTCATATATGAAGTCAGAATTGTGAGATATAAAGTCGCAATTCTGAGAAATAAAATCACAATTGTGAGAAATAAAGACTTTTTATCTCACAATTGCGAGTTTATATTTCGAAATTCTGAAGTTTTTCCCCTCAGAATAGTTTCCCATAATTCTGACTTTATAACACGCATAACACTTTTTAAAGTCGGATGCTGCAAGAGGGAGTTATTCTGATTCAAGATTACCTGGAAGATGAATATAAAAAATAATTTTGTGTACAGATAAATCATAATTAATACCGCAATATGCCATAATAGTAGAAACAAACATCACAAACGACCTTGTAACCAATCAGATCAACGTGTGATCGTCAACCAGTGGATCTCTGAGTGAGTGAGTCGGGGCGGGGCTCATTTGCATATTCATAGAACCGCGCATACTAAATGAGGCGAGGGGGTCGAGTTACATTCAAGATATTTGAAGGCATGAAGATTTTTTCCAAGGAAAAACCGTTTAACTGTAATTTTGGTGATGAAAGATGAGTTTTAAGTGAGAACATTATAAATTATAGAGGAGCTTGAAAAGAAATCAGCAGAAAAATGTAATATTGCGGTAATTTTCTGCCTTGGAGAATAAAACTTTGTTTGTTTTTTAAAGAAAGAGGAATTTTTGTTGTGCTTTCTGTTAATGTCGGAAAATGTTCAAAAGAAATATATTTAAAAAAAAGATTCTTTGGATGAAAGCATCTTTCTGATGCATAAATGTCATAGATTATTTAGATATATATATATATATATATATATATAGAGAGAGAGAGAGAGAGAGAGAGAGAGAGAGAGAGAGAGAGATAGATAGATAGATAGATAGATAGATAGATAGATAGATAGATAGATAGATAGATAGATAGATAGATAGATAGATATAAATAAATGTAAATGTATCATATGTCATAAATGTGTTATCATCAGCATCAACCTTTAATAAAGCCACATCGAGTGAGCACTAGTTAGGGCGCCGTGTTAGTGTCCAGCGGTCATCTCGACCTCCTCTCTTGATCTCCGCAGGGTTTGGCCGTCTCCGAAAGTCTCTTCAGTTCTTCTTTGGCAGCGAGTTAAAGTGACTGAAGGACGTGTGTCGCTTCTTCACAGCAAACTTCAACATTTAAAGCCTTTAAACAGCCTGAAGGTCACACAGAGGATAGATTACACTACAGTAATCCAGCTACTAAAAGCACACTTGTACTGTAGATGTTACTGTAAATGCAAAAATATAGTTCCCTATGAATGCATAGACCAAAATATGAAATAAATACTAGTACATGGCGTTAAATAATAATAATACACGTTTACCCAGTGTTTTTAACAGGTCGTATTTACTGGTGAAAACTCTAAAAATTAAAATATGGTGCAAAAGTTCAGTAATTCAACTTAAAAGGTGAAACTAATATATTAGACTCATTACATGCAAAGTGAGATATTTCAAATAAAGGCTTGAAATATGTCACTTTGCATGTAATGAGTCTATATAATATATTAGTTTCAGCTTTTAAGTTGAATTACTGAACTTTTGCACCATATTCTAATTTTGATGGGGGTTGGGGCTTTTGACTCATGCTAGCACACAGGACTTTCAACATACTAAACATGCTAGCTGTGAATAGCTACATGCTAATATGGACTAGTTATTTGCTAAATCATGCCAACACGTGAAGAACATTATAAAAGCTTTATAGTAACCATATGTGAACACTACCAACCACCTAGCAACACCAAAGCAACCACCCAGAGTACCCTAGCAACTGCCTAGCAACACCCTAGCAACCACCAGAACACCATAGCAACCACCCAGATCATCATAGCAACTGCCTAGTAACACCATAACAACCACCCAGAACACCCTAGCAACCCCATAGCAACACCATAGCAACCACACAGAATACCTTAGCAACCACCTAGTAACACCCTAGCAACAACCCAGAACACCCTAGCAACTGCCTAGTGACACCCTAGCAACCACCTAGCTAAACTCTAGAAACCACCCAGAACCCCCTATCAAACGCCCTAGCAACACCCTAGCAACCACCCAGAACACCTTAGCAACCCACTTGAAACACCGTAGCAACTTTAAATTACTTCAAACTATACTTTTACACTTTAAACTGTTAAATTTCAAACTAATTTAAACTTTAAACTAATTTAACTTTAAACTACTTTAAAATTCAAACAAATTGACATTATAAACTAATTTAAACTTTAAACTAATTTAAACTTCTTCAAACTTTCTGTTCCAAACTTTCGCAATATTTAAACTACTTTAAACTTTAAACTAATTTAAACTATAAACTAATTTTAACTTCAAACTTTCTGTTCCAAATTTTCACAAGCCAACTTAAAGTTTGTCTCGACGAACTTTGTCTGGTTTTTCCAGTTTCACCTGTATAGATTTAGTATATAATACTAGTCTGTGCGATTAATACTGTCTTGTTTACTTCTATATCCTGCACTGTACACAACTAAAAGCACACTTCTACTGTAGATGTTACCGTAAATGCAAAAAGATTTATAAACCTAAAAAATAATACATGTTTCCCCAGTGTTTCACATGTCGTATTTGTAGTGTTCACTAGTGCGGTTGTCCCACGAGGAAGTCTGAAACCCCACTAATGTGTTTCAGCCCACTTGAGATAATTGCGTGTAAGTGGCGTTGTAATGTGCCGAATCCGTCGGACCTCCGCGCAACATTTGTTTAACGTCAGCAGAACTCGTAGTGACTGTAATCACGACCCCTCGCATGCGTGATGAACGACCGCAACATCACAACCGAACACTAATGATGGCCTGGAATGTGCTTGAAATACCCGCGCGCGGCCTTTCTGCGCCAACGGGAGATTAATGGAGGACACCTGATCCGGGCTTTCAGACGGGGAACACACGCTAAACACGCCCGCTCTCCCGCTAATGCATGATTGGTGGGTTTCCTGCGCGCTTCCTGATCAATTGGATAATAGAAGGTTGATTGTGTGTGTGTGTGTGTGTGTGTGTGTGTGTGTGTGTGTGTGTGTGTGTGTGTGTGTTTGGCCGGTTCAGGATTCTTGTGTAATTTCAAGCCAAGGTTGGAAATTGGAAACGGGTTTGAGGTAAAAATGGCACCAGAACGAACCAGAATGACCTCGAATTCAAGATAACGGGACAAAATAAAAGTCCCCTGCACACACACACACACACACACACACACACACACACACCGGCTAACGCTCTTCAGACACTTCTGGACAAAGAAGGTTTTTTTTATTTATTTATTTATTTTTATCAGAATGGTATTACGCTTTTGCTGTGAACACACTCTCACTTTCACACAAACACACACACACACTCAAGGAACTCTCACAAACACACAAACACATACTCTCTCACAATCATTCACAAACACACTCACAAACACACTCTCTCACACAAACATACACTCTCACACACTCTCACACACACTCACACACACGCAAACACACACACTCACACACACAAACACACTCTCTCACACACTCTCTCACACAAACATACACTCTCACACACACACACA